TCCTTCATTCTTTATATATTAGGTATCATATTCTGCATTCTTTGTGTATCCCTTGATTGACTTTGGGGATAGTTAATTTAATTTTGTATTTGCTCAGTAATTAGCTGTTCTACTTTCTTAACTGTGGTTTTATTTTCTCTGGTGACACCTATTAAACCTTAGGAACACTTCCATCTATAGCAGTCCCTCCAAAACAGGCTGTAGAGATGGTTTGTGGGAGGTAAACTCTCTCAGCTTTTGCTTATCTGGAAATTGTTTAATCCCTCCTTCAAATTTAAATGATACTCTTGCTGGATAAAGTAATCTTGGATCCAGGCCCTTCTGCTTCTTTGCATTAAATACAACATGCCACTCCCTTCTGGTCTGTGAGGTTTCTGCTGAGAAGTCTAATGTTAGCCTGATGGGCTTTCCTTTGTATGTGATCTTATTTCTGTCTCTGGCTCCTTTTAACAGTCTGTCCTTATCCTTGATCTTTTCCATTTTACTTACTATGTGTCTTGGTGTTATCTTCCTTGGGTCCCTTGTGTTGGGAGATCTGTGGATCTCCATGGCCTGGGAGACTATCTCCTTCCCCAGACTGGGGAAGTTTTCAGCAACTACCTCCTCAAAGACACTTTCTATCCCTTTCTCTTTCTCTTCTTCTTCTGGTATCCCTATAATGCGAATATTGTTCCGTTTGGATTGGTCACACAGTTCTCTCAATATTCTTTCATTCTTGGAGATCCTTTCTTCTCTCTGTGCCTCAGCTTCTTTGTATTCCTCTTCTCTAGTTTCTATTTCATTTATCGTTTCCTCCACTGTATCCAACCTGCTTTTAATACCCTCCGTTGTGCTCTTCAGCGATTGGATCTCTGACCTGATTTCATTCCTGAGTTCTTGGATATCTTTCCGTACCTCCACTAGTGTGTTGGTGATTTTTATTTTGAACTCCCTTTCAGGAAGACTCATAGGTACATGTCATTTAAATCTTTCTCTGGGGTTATATTAATTTTACTCTGGACCAGGTTCCTTTGGCATTTCATATTTGTATATGGCGCCCTCTCGTGTTAATGAGTTGGGTAAATGATTTTAGAAGAAATGTTTGCTGCTACTTAAAGCAAAATATGACCTCCATATCAATCTCAAAAGTTTATCCTTTTAACTTAGAAAGTTTCTTCCTAGTTTAACACACTTGCTCCATCTGTAATTTCTGCCAGACATTACAGACATTAGAAAATAAGGAACAGTCAAAAATATTCTGCAAGAGATACTCCCCCAATTTGCATTTATGAACACTATAATTTGTCTAAGCAGAGACTTTTACTGGTCAAAGAAAACTTAAACAAAGCCTGAAATAAGGCTTAGGGCTGCCTGCTTACCTATGATGTATTCAGTATTGTGCTAAGCAATATACATACATTATGCCATTCAATTTAATATTTACAAAATCCTTAAGATTATTACCATAATTTTTCTAAAAGAGCCAACATCTGGGAAGGTTAATTTGGTAGGCTAAGGTTATGAATTTGGAGAACAATGTGAGCCCAGCCTGTCCTATTCCAGAGGGAAAATGTGGTATAGAATCTGCTTTGTTGGTGTCTTAAAGCCATTGCTGAATATAGGGCTTCCAGCTGTCTTCACACATATCAAAAAACTGAACCTGCTATTTAAAAAGTTACTTCATATTTCACATGTGACTATAGCTTTTAGAAGAAGCTTTCCTAACTTCTGCTGTAGGAATTCTAACTTTAAGAAAACTTATTCAAAAGTTAAATCATAAAAAAAGAATGAAATTGAAATATAAAAAAACTTACAAAACTCCCTGTTTTTAAATATTTTGCTCTTTATATAGCACATCTTTTAGGATTGCATTACACTGAATTCAGCTCTAGTGTTGGATGGCCTTCTGGTTACTAGGGCAACAGTCAATTAGCAAGAAAAAGAGGCAGAAAGGACTGGGTCCAAAATTGTTCTACTGTCATAGATTTCAGAAGCTCATCCCATTCTTGTTGAAATACTAAGTTGCCAGGGCATAAATGAGTGAAGCCTGAAATGAGAGGTGAAAAAGAGGGAACTAAGATACCTCACTGTACCTCCACTAACCTCTAAACCCTCTAAATGTGAATTTCCTTCAAACGGTGAATTTCCTTCAAACATAATCTCCCACATATACTACTGTTTCATATTCCCTAAGTAGTTGGACAAAATTGTGCTTTTCTAGAGTGTAAAACTGTTTGCCAGCAAGGGACAGAGCTCTGTGCATGGAGCTCTTTGCAAACCACACAGACTGGGCCTGTGCCCACTAGAGACTGGAGCTTTCTAGTGCTGCCAGGAGGAGGCATCAAAGAAAGACATCAAGTTTAACTGGCTTGACACCCCTCTCCAGGGAAGACCTATGAGTGTGAGCCAAAGGACTGGTGTGCACTTGGTTACTGTGTAAGCAAGAATGTCTAATGTACAGAGCAACTTTGCACAGACTAAATAATAACATTATGGAAAAAACTATACAGCAAATATGTGTAGTTATATGTATGTGTATTTGTTTATGCAAAAAAAAGCACTGAAAAAGAACCAAGACTAAAAATAGTTATCTACAGGAGGAGTGAGGGCACAGAGTGAAAGGCAGAATGGAGGCAAGACTTCTCTGAATATACCTAATTATATGCATGTTACATGTTTGCAAAAATGGTCACCAATTCTTCCCAACCCTGTATGCAAACACCTTGGAATATGACTTTACTGTTCCTTCCTTTAAAAAGTAAATTCAGTATTTCTACGGATTGAATTTGGATTTGGCATTTAAACTGCTTCAACTAATAGCACACCAGCAAATGTGAGATAAGTAAACATTTGAAAAACACTTGGTTTTTTTGCTGGGACTCATTCCACCACCATGTGAAAAAACCTGAGCTAGCCTCTTGGAAGATGAGACACCAGGTCAAGAGACTGGGCATCCAGCCTTCCCATATGAGGCCCCAGAACATGTGAATGAGGCCATCCTACATTATCTTGTGCAGACCAGAATTACCCAGCCAACAAGAATAAATGCTTGTTGTTTTTAAGGCTCTTAGGAATGGTTTGTTACTCAGCAAAAGTTAATCTTACATTATGTTACTTCTACAGTTGAAGTATATTTTAGATATTCAAAAAGTTGTGTCACTCCTTTTAAAAAAAGCAATCTATATAAATAATTGTAAAACAAAAGGCAGAATATAGTCCTACACTAATTTACATGAAAGGCAATTATTGATCAACTTTCTCATTACTGCTGTTTTAGACCACAGTTAGCTGTATAAAATTTTCAACCAAAAGTTCATTAATATTCTATGTATTTCAAACTGTGATAGTTCAAAACACATTGAATTTAATTTAAAAATTACTTTTCGAGTAGACCAGATGATACCACAGCAGATGTATTTTTATTCATGGTTTCACCTCAGTAGCCCTGGACTTAACAATTGTGTGAATGAAGATCTTAATGAAGAGTCTAGAAATTCTTCTTTTCCTAAGAATAGAGAAGTAGAAAATAAATTGTTATGTCTTGAAAGTCAAATTTGATTTTAACTTTGCATCAAAAAAGTACATACACTTGGCATGTAAACAATATGTGCCTGTATATAGACATTAAGTGTATTTTATATGTATGGGACTATGGCAGATTGGCCATTGCTGATAATGTCTGAGAAATGTACACACAGTTCTCTCTAAACAGAGAGATACAGCTATAAGAAAACATCTATATCATCATCATTAACTACATCTGTATAAAATCTGCATTTTTCTGGAAGTGAAGAATACAGTTAAGTTTTAGCTAACTATTATAGCTTCCATATTAGTATGCTTAAAAACCACATACTAAAGGACTGTAGAACATGTCTCTTTGAGTACACAGCTAAGAAGCTTATAGTCAGAATGTCTACAAAATTATATAAGACATTGTTGAAGAAAACAGAAATTCCTATCGTCTCACCAACTGTCTGGAGGGATTTCGGCAGATCTTGTATCACTCTTACTCTTATTACTCCATGAACTTGAAATACTTTCCTATGAAAAGACAAAAATATATATGTGACTTTAATGTCTCATATAGCTCCACTGTGAAAATTATAGAGAATGGTGATATTTCATTTAATTTAAAAAACTGTATTTGAACAGAGGTTTACCATCACTGCAAAAGAAATATGAAGGACAAAAACTTCATTTAGCACAATCAGTCCTTATATTAGAGAACTGAGTAGCTAGACTCAGAAATTGTGCGCTTTTCCCACACAAATGAGAAATAGTCAGAGATTGTTTAACCAGCTAGAACTCAGGCTCCAGAGCCTAGAACATGGACCCTGATATCAGACAGACCTGGGTTCCAATTCAAGCTTCTGGGCTTCCCCAAGCCTTGGTTTATTCATAGGTACAATAGCCACCTTGATTACAGTGATGGTTTTACAAATGGGTATACATGTTGAAACTTACCACATTGTCTCACTATAAATATTTGCTGTTTGTTATAAATCAATTACACCTTAATAAATTAATTAATTTGATCAATTAATCAAAGTTAAATTTTTTGAGAATCTGATTTTCAGTTAAAAATGGCAGCCTTACCTTGGCATATATCTTCTTTCCCTTCAAAGAGCACAATAATATAAGAGCAAAGGCTTACAAACACTATAAACTCATAAGGTTTAAGAATAAATGGAAAAAGAGCTATCAGATGAAAATTTTCAACAAGTTTCTAAAGGACAAAAAAATAAGATGGTGGGTGATAAATGACAAAGGAGGACTGAAGGAGCTGAAAGCTAGGGAAAGGTTCTGAGACACCAAGTCTGAGCATGCAATAGAAAATGGTAACACGCGTATGGTATACTGGGGTAAACACAGGTGGCATGCTGTACCTCTGAGAAACTGAGGGGAAAATCAGTAACTGAGCACTCTAGTAACCCATTCATGGCAAAATTCTGGCCTTGGGGAGGCAGATGCAGAAAGAACTTATCTTGTAGAATCCCAGAAAGGTTGAGGACTTAGAAACCCAAAATTCTAGAGAGAGCAAAACTGAGGCAGAGAACTAAAACCAAAGGGATTATCCCCTCTCTTCTCCAACCATTATGTGGAAGAATCACAGATTCTTCTGTAAGTAATTTGAATGGACCCTGAAGAAAGTGCCAATGACCTTCAGGGAGCCTGACATAGAGTTGTATCACTTGCCTAGGTGTTAAAAACCTGCCTCAACTTTCACAGTCTCTATCGTAGGAAGCAACCGGAACAGTGGGAGCCTGCAGATCAAAAGTAGCAAAGAAACGAAGCCATCAAGCCACTGGGAGCAAAGTCCAATGCCACGAAGCAAGAAGGTTACTCCTTACCTCATGGGAAAAGAAGGGGACTTGCAGAGGACTTTACAATCTTAGGGCTTTGACTGAATAACGACCCAAAGACAAGAGCCACTACAGTTGACCACAGGACTGATGTAGCCATGGAAGAGTTCAATTCTAAAAACCCAGTTTTCATATGTTCACTACAGATTGTTTTAATATTACATGCATGAGGCATAGTCTCAAACCTCAAGGGAGAAAGTTTTGATGTAACAGTAATAGTAACTACCATTTATTGGCACCATGTGTCACACACTGTGCTAAGTATTTTAAATGCATTTATCTTATTTAATATGAAAAAATGCATTAGCCATAACTTAAAAAAAAGCTGAGTTCAAAAGGCAGTACTG